ACTGGAATACTGTTAAAAGAGGCGTTAAACCCAACTCAGTCACTAACTCACTCACCTGGGTCTGTGTATTCGGATCACATGTATTGTCATTAAAACCCTCACCCAGAGCATGCTCATATGATGTCAAGCCATGTTCCGGGCCACGGACTTCACAATCATTATGAAAGTCACTCCCCTTGTCACATCCTTGATGTAATAACATTGTAATAACATGCAAGTCATGACCATTAGTCCATAAGTAATTTATTTAGATTATTCCTGCAGGTTTTATATAGTAATCTGTCTGTGTTTAAATGGTGATTGCATGTTCCAAATGATAAAAAGTCGGAATAAGAATGATTAATAAGTAAGCGGTACTTTGAAAAGGATGGCATAGTTTTGTTAATAGTAGAAATTGGCGGTCCGCGTCCACATACTTCTACTTCCAGACAGATGGATGAGGTCATAATATGAAATGTCTTCTATTAATAGTGATTCCATTGCCAGATTTACGATGCGAGGTTTTTAAGAAAATGCAAAGAAAATGCGGAGGACAGTCACAATCGAACATGGCACATTCTAGAGAGAATTTCATCGTACTAACATCGAGTTTGCGTGCAAAGATACTAATACTGAAAGACTGATTCAATGAAGACTTACGATATGGTAACTGTTCAAGTTAACCATCGTGACAAAATGGCGTTATTCATAAGCATTACAATGATCATGCTTCTCACTTCAACCGTGGGAAGATTCCATGTCTTGGACTGAAGAGGGTCGGGTGATGTGGATGGTTGTGTACAATAGTACTCCGATGATCTGACTTGTTTCTCCTGCTTTCAGTCACTGGTTCAGTCAAGTTCAAACTCGATTATGTACCAACAGCCGTGATACACATGTAGCTAGAATGTGCTAACTGGGCGTTAAACAGTATTCACCTACTAACTCACTCAGCATCGGCTATGTCTTCAAAATGGGTGTACAGGTTTTCCCTACCGACAGTTATTGTCGTTGGCGGTATTTCGAAGAGGTACAAAGTCACTATGAGGTAATCTGGCTGAGACTTCCATTAGACATTATCATTAAATAGTTCCATTGTTTGAAGAATGAAGCTGGACATACTATACAGTACATAGACCGACTGCGTGGTTAAAAGGAAAGGTTGTCTGCCTGAAGAGCGGAAGGTCGGGGGTTCAATTCCCGGTCGCGTCATACCAAAAGTCATTAAGGGGATAAAACGCACAGCTTAAAAAGTGTAGGTTTTGGTTTTCCGGAAAAGTGCCGGATACCGGCTCACTTTGAATCCGGCCCGGATATCTTCCAGATACCTTGCCCAAAAATTGTCAAAATGTTGAGGATGCGTTTGTTCTCCCAGAAGTGTGAAACGCATAAAAAATATTTGAAACTTATCAAGAAAATTGAAAATAGCTTGAGGTATACAGGCCAGATTCAAAGCGGAAAGGTATCCATATTAAACTGTGGCATGGTATCTCAGTGTGCCAACATTTTGACAGGCATTAGTCCGGACCAGGACAAGTAGACACACAGACGCGCTATATATGTGCACTAATGTTACTCCGTTATGCACCAGTCAGCTGACCTCTTTGTACAGGCACAAGAGTGAACATTTGATTGATTAATATCAGTTATTTCGAACACTGATAAATGAAATACATTTGTACCTTTGTAACACATCCGAGCTGACGAGACACCTTGGGGATATCATGAAGAGACACCCTTTTGTGGACAGATATATAACTGGGAGAGCCAAACGTAAAACGTAAAAACAAAATAATTAAAATGCGCTTAATGTACATGTGGATAAGGTTGTGAAAGAGATCAACTTTGTGTCTTTAATTCTATTCAATGCATGTTTGTCGGTTTCTAACATTAGTACGAGTTCTTTTACATGTTTTATTGTAGTCCGTTCTTGCACGAATAGCAAGTCTATTAATAATTTTCGATCGCACTTTAATATTTGTCCCAAGTTGTTGATTTCTAAAGCTGAAATCAGTTTCCAAATGCAATCTGTTAGGTAAATCTGGTGATTATTGTTAGCAAACACGTCATGACACTCTATACCTTCCTCGGTTTCCACCGGCAGCGTCAATATAAGTGTTTTTCTACTGCACTACCCACTTTACTACACAATAGAATAATAATGCTGTCATTGTGGGTAGCAAATTATATTCTTTCTATCTCGAACAGCAAGCAGTAAATGACGACTGTGATCAATAGTTTATTGACGTGAGGACTTGCTAGAAACCGTAGCATGCCGTGTGCCACTGTTGAGGACATACCTAATGTTTCGTGACTGGACTGTGAATAGTGGGGCAACCACTTGGCGATTATAAAGCTGTCATTTGAGGGTAACCATTACAAGTGAAGAGTAGCCGGTCCAATGCTGCTGTAAGTTTACATTGTAAACATCGTGTTCGGGTTTTCTTGAAACGCTTCACTTATTCTATCCCTAATACTGAATGGATACAATTAATTTTTTACAATGTTAAATGAGTTTTCAATATGTGATAGGTAGATATCATATTGTAATTATTGTTGCCGCACATAGTTTAATTAAAGTATCATTCGCCTATATACATTATCCAAATACACATTAGTTTACTTTTTTCGCCATCTGCTGGCGAGATAGATGTCCTGACTGGGTGCTGCAGTTTAACAATCCTAGGACGTTTCGTAAAGATGCACATCATGTTTGTATTTCAGTGGTACAAAATTCTATAAGCAAACCCCGAATTACCGTCCACCATATTCAACACAAACGCCTTATTTGTTGTTAAGAGCACGGAGTGCCGATGAGACTATTAATTGTGTTCTTGATGGTCGCATGTGTTCGTGTATATTTGCACTGCAAATTTCTGTCCCATGATGCCATTATCGAAACTTTGAGTGAATATACTAGTCTCAATCCAAATTGGTTTAGATATGGTTTTTCGTTTCCTATGGTACCAGCTATCATATCGAGTTATTGATAAATGAAATGTATTAAAATTATTTAATTGACCATGACTAGATTTACAGATGTACAGATTAATCAAGTTACCCTGTACACAACAAAACACTTGTTAAGTGATCATGATGAGGTGCATGATGTCCCCACAATGGATAACTGAAATGCTGTATATCTCACAGTTAACCTTAACGTTTGTCTTGAACTAAACCAACAACTGACCCATGAAAAAAAGACTTTGAAATTATGATTGAAAAAATGGGCACGTCGTTTTGGCCCATTAAACACTTGGAATAAAAACGTTCTCAGTTTTTTATTTCGAGTTGAGCGATGATCAAATATTTGCTTGACTTTGAGCATATTATTTTGACGTTACAAATATTGACTGATAGTTGATCGTAATAGAGTACTAGTTCGTCAATCATGCAATTAATCTGTCCTGATGTTAATGCCTCCTGTTTTACCTTCAACTTTGAGGATAAGCGTGAACTTCATAAACATTATAATACCCTACCGTAACAATAGTAAAATGAATTTTCAACAACACGTAAAATTGATAACACCTCAGAGGCAGACAGTAAGCGTACTTTATTGGCAACAAATATATACCTTGAATAGTGTTAAGCACTCCCGCTTCACAACTGTCATGTATCTCGAACTTCCATCTGTCGTTTGAAAAATATACATTATTACATTGATGTCTTAACTGCTGGTAGGTTGGTAAAAGAACACTGTGTTTCTCCGCATGAACACAAAGTACCGAGTCATACCATTGGTTCAGAGAAATAGCGGAAGCATCTGAAGGGTTCGCCAAATAACTATTGCCGCAGCAGCTACAAACCATATTATAAGATATTCGATTTCGGTTATCTATTCCAATACGAGTAGAAAAATATATGAAAAATGCATAATGGTTACGATCGAAAAAATATATTATTAAATGGTGCTTAACTTTTCTTAGGTATAATATAAATGTGAATGTATATTCAGAACTATATGTCAAAGATGTCAAAGATAGCATCAGCTTTTTTGATTAGATTGAACAAAAATGTGTGGCATATTTCATTCCAAAAATGATGGCATATTTCATTCCAATAATGACAGATCCATTGAGACACATTGTATACATGTGGCTCAACAGACAGTGGTATGTAAAAGCACATACACGAAAACAAACGCCTGGATATCGATTACTTCATCTATAGTTGTATTGTTCACCCAAGTCAGCTGGGGCGCTGTGTTAAACAATACCCCTTCACAATGTAACAGGATACTGAGGCTGCACACAATATTCAGACATGAAACATTGATAGAACTACACAAACCAATCTATTTACCTTCATCCAAGTACTATCTGTATCCAAAGCGATCGAATTAAAAACTGCATAACGATGAGTAGTGTATTGTCTAATATGATGAAGGTATTACAATATTCTTATTTCACACAGATGGGTTTTATGTGTAAATGTACTATTGAAAGTCTCAGTGTAATGGGTCACAATCTACTTACTAGTTGAGCCGTCACGCCGAAGAATCGGGTTCAACTCGCCACGTGAGTACGGTGTGTGATATGTATGGAATAGTCGTGATAAAGACGTAAGCCACAATTGACCAGTATCTCAATTAAAGCCTACATGAACAGAAGAGCCTGGCAATTGTCAGTCATAAGAGTCAGATACATTAATAGGATTCAGGTAATCTACGTAAGGTAATTTAAATATCCCTATTAACGATGACGTGTAACAGAAGGGCCAGTGGCACAAACCTATCGACATATGTACACAATGTTCATGCTAGCATTTAACACGACGCCGGTGCATTAACTAACCAATCTATTGCAATATTTACATTCATCAGTAGTAATCCTGCATTCCATCCCCAGCCAAAGTGTTTATGTGGGGGACTAAGTGCCCTTAAACATGTGCGGCCATAAATATTCCATTAGATTAATGATTCCAGTTTTAAAAGAGTAGTTTCTAGTGGGTCCAGACACATATTTTACGTATTCGACTACATTTTGGATTTAATGGAACATTTTATGACCCCCTAACGTTTTAAGCATGTTCTACCCTTCGCTCATTTAGATAAGTAACTATTGACGCGGATGGTCGACTTGTCAAAAGTGGCAGTTTAATTGCAAAGCATCACAAGAGACTTCCGCAGCCTCTACGCTTGTGCCCATAGTGACGAGAATACATTGACTCAAGCATCGAACCAAAAAACCTCAACTACTCTGAAACGAATCAGTGTTGTGACTGTCCCGCTGGAGTCGGTCGCATGCTTTGGATCGCTAAGCTGGAGGAATTGCAGATCTGAAATAACATGAAACGCGGTTCTGGACACTATCACTAGACAACAACACACCTGACAGGCGGTTCACTGTGGCAGCATTGTGTGAGTAGCAACTGAGTTACCCAGAGGATATGTTTGGCATGCTTGACCCAATATCTTTGTTCTCCCATATGGAATAAATAATACATTATCAGCATTCATTTATTGCATGATATGTGAACATATGTATTTTCTCGCATGCCGTGCGAACATATGTATGTTTAACAATACATCAAACAAGATAGGTATAATTGCAGTGCGACAGCTTAACGAACTTGTGGACTTCGATGGATCGGTGTTTTATTTATAGGTTGGATGTAACATGAAATTCATGGTGGACTTCGATACAGGAGGGACTCGTGTCATGAGAGTTCCTGTGGAGATATTGAGAACAGCAGTCCTGTTCGCTCTTTGTGCCTCCTTTACAACTGGTGTTGATATAGGTATGTATATTAAATCATGACTATTTAACTCTTTTGCGATCAGCGTTCCTTGTTCTAAGCATTATTTTAAGAACTATTCGCCATTCTAATCTGGGTAAGGTTTATATCACAATATATCTATAAGCAAACAATGTGGTTGGCCTGTCACCACGGACCTTGGACCTCTTGTTATAGCCACGTCTATAACTGCTATAACTGGATTAACAACCCAAACCCAAGCCCCCCTCTAATTATTGACTTGAACCACATGTTCCCGTGTTTGTTCAGATGGACACTTGATTTGCCTTGGCATGTGATTGTGACGGGAGGAAAGAGTTTTGTCACTGTTATTTATGCACAGTGACACAGATGATCCAGTTGTCTAAAACTTCACAATTTGCTATGCAGAGATCAGAAGCATAGGATGGTTAGTTCGATTCCCAGATCACCCTGATGTATTTTTAGGTTCGTCAGCACCAAAGTCCTAAATGTCTGAGACCTGCATAACTTCGGGCTGTCCTATGTTAAGCTTACCCACCGTGATATAACTGATATACTGTTCAAATGGCGTTAAACCATATTCACCAACTCTCTCATTATAAGCACAATCAACAATGCAGAAATGGACATAGTATCAATTTGTATAAAAAACGTTTATTTTGCAGGCATTATTGAGAGCCATGATGTTGAAGAAAAGCACATGAAAGCAGCGCTGAATAATGTAACAAACATCCGCTTCACACGAATAGTCGTTCCCCTTGAACAACCCTTTGTCCTTGTCCGGAATGGTACGTTCAAAGTTCATAGTCATCACTTTTTGGTTCTCTTTTCATGTAGGGGTTACGTATCCTAAACATAAAGCCAGCTCTCTGGAACAGGACAAACAGGAAGGGAAACACAAACTCATCAGAAAGTCATTAGAGAGAATAAATTTATGAAGACGGTAATGACACAGAAGAGACTTTATCGACTGGCTGTTACTAATATCAAAAGGATGATGCTCTCACCAATACAGTGCTCGTGTATTTCACCATATCGGAAGATGTTTTAGATCTAAATGAGCTACGGCCTCCTCCCCACAGAATACTGACACGTCTTGATATTACAGAAATATTGTTTAAAGCAGCGTCAAGCCCAAATCACTTGCACTCATAATGTTTTCATATATAGGGTCAACACATTTAACATCAACATTCATTACCTTTAATTGAACAAGACATTCATATATCAATCTCCACTTAAGAGTTGAGCTACGATAATGGTAATTTGTTTCAGATGTATTCAACATAATAAATAGTCTACCGATTCTTCTGGCACCGATGGACACGTGCAGCACCATACAGATCCTGCTGCGACATTACGGACACAAGAAGAAGAGGGTCACGTGTTTCAGACCAAATCCACAGCCAGAAGAAGAGGTCTTCTTCTCCCCTGCGTTACTCTTCAGTGCGAGTATTTTAACTGCCATAGAACGACTTAAGTGGTCAGCCGTCATCATAATCGGCGATAACGGCAATGGTATGTATATAATTAATAGAGTGTATATGTCATGCTGATTTTACGCCAAGAGTGTCAGACTGGTCGAAGTTTCGAACAACAGAATGATACACACAATGAAACGATTGTCCCGTTATTATCAATGCATCAAATTATCTACGATACGATAAACTTGACGTCAGTAATTTTAGACGATTAAAATTCATTGATATTATGACGCCATGCCGCAAATGTATCCGCACAATCTCTAACGAAATGCCCATTATACATCTGTTTATGGTTAATTTTTTATGAACTTGCCATCGATCTTGCACCATATGGACAAACAATCAAATACTCGACCACTGCAAGGTTAATGTGGCCCCAGCTCGCGACATGCACGACGGTATTAAAGCTGCAATACCGCTCATTACGTTATACGTGATATTTCCCTCACACATATTATCCATGATGGAGGCCAGTGACATAAGATGTTAATTAAATGTAGGTAACCATTATACCAATACCTTGGGGAGACATGGCTACACGGTGTGAAGCCCATTTATTGTGATCATGATGTGGCTGGAATATTGCTAAAAGTGGTGTAAAACCCAACGCAAACACTCACGATAGTCAGTCATACAGGCCCTAAAACAAATATATCCAATCCAGCCCATGCAAGTCAATAATGTTTGGCAAGTCTAGATTACTGCAGTATCAGGGTCTGTACAAATCTGAAAATGAAGAAAGTCTCTGGGCTCCTGTTTATTGTATTTCATACCTATAATTTAACAACTGTTTTTCTGTAAAGTATGTTCATTTCAGAGACTAGATGTTAGTCTAACACTCACTACATCTAGATCTATACATAGATCTGTACCCGTGTTCGTCCGTATACAAAGCATATGCACGCTGTTGACCCATATGGACATACCATCTAAGACGATGTACATGTATCTCTAGGACCACTCCCCATCACCACTATATTCTATCAGTGGATCGTTTCCCTCGAGTTATCTATCACTTACATATTATATATGTATATTCGACCAATTTCTCGAGGCTCCACTGCATGGTTTCAATGTTTATATTAGTATTAAGATATCAAACGTCTGAAGAATTAACAATGAATATTCAACGTGAGTTCATGTAAATAAATGCAATTTGGTCTCTTCCAATTCCACTAACTAGATCATTCCTATTAGCGGTGGCACTTTCAATTCCCACCGCAAACAATATCTACGGACGTATCATCAGAGTTGCAATGAAGTCAATAGATGATCATTGTTCTCAGAACCGCCATAATGGACTTTATTTATTAACTATTAATCATTCAGAATACCCGCGAAGGGCCGAATGGACAAGGTATGTGGGTAAGCATGGCACCCACAGCTTAGCATTAGGCCATACAAATCAATACATAGAATGCTTACTGTTGTAATCACTTCAAATTTTCCTGCACATACATATAGAACAATTCCGATCATTTAGTTATTTTAATTATGAAAGGTGAAATAAACACTTATACGTCATATCAAGTTTATGTTTTGTTTCAACAGCTACATGTTATTTTAGAATATAATATTATCTCCAAAAAAAACTAAAGACTTAAATGAACTTTTAATGTCCTAAGCATTAGAAAAGCTAACTTCATGATAGAGGGAAAATTGAAACCCTCATAGGAATAGACAAACACGGCAGAAACTTGATTTATCAAATACATCTATCTTCCTGTAATGAATAGTGTGACAGTGTTCGTTACGCATTCAGAATCGATTTTTCGGACAAGTTTCATTGTAATTGAATGGTGTGCTTACATCGGGTAACAGCTTGAACGTTATCGGTTGACTGCGTGCTCGTTTCGAGTTAGATGACAAATTGTGAGGCTGTTATACTGAAAATAACTGTACCAAACAGGCGTTGTTTTAGGCGTTGTTTAGACAGAATTATCAGTGAGTTCCGCACTTTAGTTTTAGTATGTAAACGTTTGAGATAAATCTTAGATGTCAGATCTGTTACAGTCCGTTTGATTCCATCTGAGACCGATGAATTGCTCACTAACTCAAAATCTAATAATTGCAACAAAACCAAAATGTGCACAGCGACATGAATTGGACAGACCAACTCTGATGGTTTGTCTCATAATTTTGGACACCCGAATAAAAAAACTGTTTAACAAACGATCCTCATATTGTTGACATTTTTCGCCATCCAATACCAGGGAGGACCAGTCGCTCATGGAATAGCTAGGTAATGAACAGGCATGTGCACCGTATATGGGGGTCATCTCAAAAGCCGTTTTGGGTGTTTAATCGGAGTCACAGTTGCAGGTTTCTGAAGCCGTGACAGTGCATTCGGAATCGGTGTCGCTGTTGTCCGAATCGCTATCGCCGCTGTCCGAGTCTACCCTGATGATCACTGGCTTGATTGTGGCATGGTCCAACCCACTATGTTCCCAATAATGTCTCTCTATTACATTCTCAACTTTCTCAACACACTTTTGCCACGTTTCCTGCGTGATGGTGTCTATTGATTGTTGAACCAGTTTGAATATTGTATTTTGCCTGGCAACATCCGATTTAATGATACCCCAAATTAGTTCTATTGGGTTTAAATCACAAGTTTGGGCGGCAATCGCAAAACTGAATGGCCATGTTCTTTAAGATACTCGTCAACTTTAAAGACAGGTGTGGTTTTATTAGACTTTATAATATCATACAGAACAGGTTTCGTTGCTTTTTGTTGATACGGTATTGCTTTGTGTGTCAACCATTCAATCATATCGCCCTTCCTACTGTTAGACGTTGGGGCTTTTGTGTTAGGTACCTGAACGCCATGATATGGAGCATTGTCCATGACAACCAGACTCTTGGGGGGCAATACCGGTACCAGTTGCGTTTTAACCCATTCTAGGAATACCCCTCCTTTTATTTCGGTATGATAGTCTCGGTTGTCCTTGGATTTTGCCTTGAAGACTAGCGAACAGCCTGGTAGGAACCCCCGACTCTTGCAGCCAGCATGGAGCACAATAAGCCGCTCACCCTTGCCAAGTGGCAATTTCCTGGCACAGAAATCAGAAGAGGAGCTAGGGAGCCATTGTGTTCCTGTGGTATGGGAAGCGTTTTACCACGTTTCGTCAAAGTATACGGGCTCATAACCCTCGTAACGTTTTTCTCGTATTGTGCGTAAGAAATGGTTCCTTAGTCGAACAATATCAGACCTTTCGCATTATGCATGTCTATTTTCGGAGCCTACTTTTTTGTAACGGAAACTAAATTGGTGTAGCAATTTCCATAACTGATATTTTGAAATGGTCAAAGAATGATTTGTCGCCATATATTTTTTTAGAGTACGGGGGGAGACATAGATATTTTGTTTATACAGAGTCTTAATGGCGTTTCTAACCATCTCTTATTGAAATGAATCGACTTTAAAACATCGCTTGGGTTTTGAGATGGTCCCCTCAGGTGTGTCACTGCAGGTTGAATCAGTACACCTTTTTAACATAGTTTTTAACTTCCCTTCTGTTATCCCAACTGCACGTGCAGTTCGTAAACGATACTTTTTCAAAGCATATTGTGGTCTACCTCTTTCACATTCATTTTAAATTTTTTTGAAGACGTTGCAAATTATTGACTTCGCGTCGAGTGATGTTCTCACTGTTTCAGGTATAGCAATCACACATCTATGGTTTGCTCAGCAAGCCTTACGTCACTTTCGCACATGAAACTCGCCCACCTGGCTGTTCTATGAGCGACTGGTCTTCCCTGGTATGGGATGGCGAAAAATGTCAACAATATGATGATCGTTTGTTAAACATTTTTTTTATTCGGGTGTCCAAAATTATGAGACAAACCATCAGAGTTGGTCTGTCCAATTCATGTCGCTGTGCACATTTTGGTTTTGTTGCAATTATTAGATTTTGAGTTAGTGAGCAATTCATCGGTCTCAAATGGAATCAAACGGACTGTTCTTGTGTTTTCGAATTAAGAATTAATGTTTAACCCAACGCATGAGTATAGTGAGCTGTACAAGTTGTACAATCGGAAACGTCAACGCGAGAGCATGATCAGTCTCGAAGGTAAAATAGTGATGACAATTCTAGGAATGGATAACTGAAAATCAGTGATTATACCAAGTGTTCACGAAAAGTTAAAGCATGCCCTGCTTTACCTCACATGATTTCCATTAAAAAGTGCGAATGAGGAGGGAAGTGTGAAATGCCATGCTGAGATCATATATGGGATAGCATCGTGCATGACGTTATCGTTATGACATTCTTCTCAGTAATATAGGGTGACACAGTTTACCTGTCATGTTGGTATGTACAATTATGTAAAGAACAATGTCATGCTTTCTGTATTTCTTGCAGAGGTCTGGAGTATATCTGAAGTACTTACAGCAAGAGGGTTACTTTGCCTCACCTTTACATATAATGCGTCTGATTCAAATGCTGTTATACACGAACGGATTATGAATTCGACAACAATTGATAGAGGATTTCCGTGGAACTATCTTTTGTTTGGTTCAGACAAAGGCGTGCACTTAGTGTTACATGAGGTAAGTTGTTGCTAGAATGAATGAATGAATGAATGAATGAATTAGATATATGTTAATTTTGCATTGGAAAGGAATGTAGTTTAGTCTAAGGAAAACTAGTGTTTAACCTACGGTTAACTTGCTAAAGGTAAATAGCTAGCATAGGGATTAATGGAAGAAGAGGGCACCAAATGATGATGATGAGTTTGTCTGGTTTCGTTGTATTCGAAATATTAACAACGGGTCATCACGAAAACGAATTTTATAAGACAGAATAATATAATGTTGACTATCCTGAAAATAGTTGAAATCATACCTTGATGTGACAGAAACATATCAACCATGAATGCTCATGGTTGATATGTTTCTGTCACATCAAGGTATGATTTCAACTATTTTCAGGATTGTCAACATTATATTATTCTGTCTTATAAAATTCGTTTTCGTGAAGGTATTCAACTTCAGGCTGCTATAACCTTGCATTTCACGATAACACTGTTGACTTTTTTATCTGTTCTTAACTGAGTGACAAGGTTTCAAAGTCACTGGCTTTTGAATCATTTTGTGTTTGTGCATTGAATTGGTATTTGCCTTTTTGTCATCTGTGTCATTACTGCTTCGTAATTAGATCTAGTGGAGGGTCTGCAAAATGAAAAATAATATCACAGGTAAATACGAATATATACGTGGTCCAAAATAGGATGCAGAATGGAACCATTTGAGAAGATTGTAGAGATCAAGTCTGAGAAAGCCCATATGGTTCCAGGATTGTGCAGAAGGAATTGGCGTAACGAAGTTGTTTGAATGTCTTTGCTGGTGACGCCGATTTGAGATGAATACCCTTGATATGTGTACTCTTGTGTGAACTCATGTCGTTGAACAACAGGAAGTTTACAGTGTACGTGCATACGTGTAAGAGTGTGCAATCTTGATATAGAATTATGTATCTCAAATTAGTTAGAAATCTAATTATCGCTGGTGGATAAAAGGATATATTTACTTGTCAAAGTGCATAACTACCATTTAGAAATATCAGTAACAGACGGGTAAATAATAATAATTGTGAAGGGTCGCTTAGCAGCCATGAACATTGACACTAATTGGTATTTGAAGGAAAAATTAATTCATTCAGAATTAATCCTTTCTAAACAAAAGTAACCATTATATAATTAGACATTACATATTCTTTCTAATGTATTCAAATATTACGCCGTTCAATTTAGGATTATTATATAATTAGCCAAATTATGAGGTTTTATGAAATTGATAGTAAATTTATATTTGATTTGTCTGTGCTGATAATCAATTCAAGTCCATATGGTCTTTCATAAAATATCCTTCCGCGCCCTATTCATATATCAATACATGCACACATTCTAGCTGTGAAATGGCAAAGTGATTGATTATTTCTCAAACCGATCCATCTAAACGTGTTTTACTTAGGGGGGAATGTATGGGTAACTCTCAATTCTTTGAAAATATTGTGTCCAATACCCCCGCCAGGACGGACGCCCAATCCTTTTAAGGAAAGAATAAGAATAGTAGAGAGGATATACCCCCATTATAACACATATCACCCTATACACTTTCACAAAACATGCTCTTGTGGAAAATATTTGAAACACAAACCAGAGCTCTTTGTAGCCTGCATTTAAACGGCGTTCATGGCCTTTGTCTGATCCACGTGGAATGTGTTCTCTTCTACTGTTGCACATGCCGGGGTTTTGCATCAATGATTTGCCTAATTCAACGTGAACAATGTCATTAGTAATATGATGAAACTCAAAATTATGCATATTAAATTCCAACGATTGTACAAATAGTTCATTTCATTTCCCCAAATCATAGGCTACGGGTTGGAAAACATGCTAGATTGATAAGAGAAATATATACTAGCTTTACTTGTTTTTCTTTTTTCTCTTTTTTTTTGTAGATGGGGGGTGTTTGCATCAATTATTTGCCTAATTCAACGTGAAAACTGTTATCAGTAATATGATGAAATTCAAAATTATACATATTAAAGTCCAAGGTTTGTACATGTAGTTCATTTCATAACGTCTTGTCATGCGTCGCAGGAGCCGAGGACCGCTATTAGGTATCCCCAAATCATAGGCTACGAGTAGGAGCACCGCTGGCGAAATATGCTTCCTGACAAAGTTGAAGAAGTTCACTTGAGTGTCAAAACAAAATGTGGCACTTTCTATTCCAAATGTACATTGATTGAATTGTTGGTTCAGTATAATCACAACCAACTGTCCATTCCTGAAAAATAATGTACCGTTTAAATGTTTGAATAACGTTACAGATGTGCGTGCTTTAACGACACCAGTAAACCAATGAGCGAGAAAGATCCATAACCAGGCTTCATGAAAAACAAATTGAAATTAATAATTCTTCCAGTTTTTCATTTGTGCTAACTATAAAATTACCAAAAGAAGAATATATTTCTGAGACTTATTCCGATTGTGGATTTCTTGTTGACGACAGTGATTTCGATTATTTCGAGAATTTTAAGAGAAACTATTTTTCGTATCGTCTGAGGCGCCGCTATTCGCTGTTCAGAGTTGAAGACCTTGGCCATTCCGGAAACCTACGATCCAATTTGTGATTTTCGGCACACAACACGAGCTCATTCACTTTATTGAAGCGGTAAACGTCTACGACCTGCGTTACGTCGAGCTCTCCTCCCACTTTCAACTGGCATACTGTTCAAAATGGCCTAAGACCTTAGACCTGCATAACTTTGGACTTTCCTCCCACTTTAAGCTTACACGCCCTGATATAACTGTACTGCTATTAAAGCAGCGTTAAAACCAACCCACTTAATGACTCCAACTAGAATATGGATGAAAAAGACGATTCCTTGATAACATTGACTGAAATGGTCACGGCGGTTCCAGTTCACGTTAGAAATGAACATGGTTTTGAGGATAAAATTCTCAGAAAGACAACTTCAAAGAAACTGATGATAGAACAGGCTATTAAAAGCAGTATATTTAACATTCAACCACGAATTTCGTAAATACTTGATTTTGATTGGTCAATCAGAGGTATCAAATTACAATAAACTCTCTCTTATTGAAACAGATCATTTGACTGTCGCATCACAGTCAGCGAAGCTTATATTTTTAGAACATGACTTCTTTTACAGTCATTGTCGGTAGGCATATTTAAATGATTATATGTACACTTATATGCTACAAAATGCAAAGTTGCGGTTACTACCGTATACAAAGGATGTGTGGCAATATTTCCATGCAGAAAACACGATAGAAATCTGCAGAATGTATTTCAAGCTTTCAGGACAACAGAGAGCTTGGTATTTGGCGCTTTTCTTTGTACGACTGTGACGTCATATCTTTTGCGTCACAATGAAAGATATGACGTCATAATAGTGACGTGTGGTGAAGAACGAAATCTAAACGATTAGTTTTCTTTTCGGATGCCCACCTCATGTTAGCTTACGAAGTGGATTACTACATGGTTTCAGTGCCTGCCATAAGTTCGTGTGATGTAGTAAACAAACTGCTCGAGCACACAGAGCGCCATATTTGTTTTTGAAGGCTGTTGTCCGTGTCTCCGTAATTTCTTTTTATCAAAAACCTACACAAAACACTGGACTCAACCATAGCCGCTTCACTCAATGTGGAGCGGTCGGGTAGCCTAGTGGTTAAAGCGTTCGCTCGTCACGCCAAAGATCCGGGTTCGATTCCCGATATGGGTACAATGTGTGAAGCCCATTTCTGGTGTTCCCCCGCCGTGATATTGCTGACATATTTGCTAAAAGCGGCGTAAAACCATACTCACTCATTCAATTCACTCAAAAGTTCGCGTTATATTTGGTCATGGAGATAAAGATACCGTGTTATCAATGTAGAGCGAGGTTACCTGTAGAATTAAACACGCTACATTGAATTTGGAACCGAAAACGCAGCGTAATTATCTCCTCATCATATGTTTATTATAGGAGAGCATAGTTGGCCACAAACTGAAAGACAGAAAAGGTCGATAAAACAAACGAGCCGCGCCGCGGTGAACGTTATGTATACCGTCGGTGTTTATGTTTTGTGAATGTTCATCTGGACCCTGCATGGCTGCGGAAAAGACTATAAAGAAAATAAATTTGTCAATATATAGTCTACTCTTACTTTTACGTTCGGTGTAAACAAACGTACCGCTTTAATTGGCTGACTGTTTTTGTCCTTCAGCTCTTGAATTGTGATCTACACTAATGGCTATGTTTGGAAGAGGCAGCAACTTTCAAAACTGGTATTTCGTAAACTACTTTTGCGATTACGTTAAAACAAGACATTCGTTTATCATTCTTCATTTTTAGTACAATATCATCTGAAATAAACAAGAACATGTTCACATATGTATTGTTGAATGTGACATATATAGAATCTCACCCGAGTGTCTTTTGATATCAAATATATCAAAATGAGTTGATAAAAGTGGAAAAACTCTAAGGCTAGCGCTTGCTTCCAACATCATTCTTCCAACTTTTTCAGTTTGTAGTCAGTAATAAGCAGTGTCTTAAGTGTAAAAAGTACCGCTAACAACTTCAGTAGCAGAGCCATTAGTGATTTCATTTGATTGTGACGTCATCGTAACAATAACGTCACAATGGTCAGCAAAGCATTGTGATACAATTTCATTGCAGCTGTATCTTCCATGTAGATATCGCTTTTATTAACCCAAGCGATATCGCCTGTGGGAGGCAGATTTGGATGATACAAAATATTACTTCACTTGGTTTTTTTTAAGGCTGAGAAATTTGACATCCTGAACAGACGTCGAAGCGACATGCGGTCGACATCCCAGTGGCTGGTGGTGATGCAGGAAGGGGACCTGGAGTTGTTCCACACCGACAGCTGGCTCGACAACGTCGCCATCATGGTGTACCCCAACATCTCCGCTGATTGGCCCATCATGGTAAATATCGTTCAACAATCATTTGAAGCTCATTTTCAACAATTTCGAGAACGCCTGGTGCCATAATTGTTTTTACATTGATGACTGTATTTATGTCATGTTATTAAATCTTGCTTTTACTTTTTCTTTGGCATGACATTAATCGCTGCTTTTTCTGGTCCAGTTTCAATAATTTACAGGACTCCGTGATATACAATGTATCTGGAACTAACGTTTTAGGAACAGTTCATGCCATGAAATACCATGGATTTGTTTATACATATAACCTATATCTACAAATAACAGAATTATGTTAAATGTGAAAAAGTTTCCTTTTTTACACATCTTTCCTTTTTGGGTCCTTGGGCAACATGGTTTAAAATTTAAGTGTTAATTTTATTATATTTATGTTTTTCCTTCTTTAATATGTACCCATGAAAACAGCTTGTTAAATTCTGTAAATACATTTGACCGAGACCGGTCGGTTTCCGGAATTAAACTGGGTCGTGTTTAAATAACATTGTTACTTTGCGTGATTGATCTAAAGCGGGTTTCTTAACAAGCTGAACATAATATAGATACAGTTCAACCTTTGTAAAGAAAGTGGTGTGTGTTTGCTTCAAAGTACCTTCAAAGTTATCAATTATACAGGACGGAGAATTCACAATTCATGTTGCTATGGCGTTTTCTGTTCAACAAGATATTTTCATGTTTGTCTGAAGTAATTATAAACTGAAGTCTAAATACACACTCAGTGAAGTCGATATTGCAAAATTCAGCACCAGTTGACATAAACACTCATGGCTTCAATGCTTGTTTGCCAAGTATGCAAAGCCTCCTCCATGGAAAATATTGAGTGTTTGTGAATCACTGTCATTTAGCCGATTTGATGTTAGATAAAATGTATGCATGTAGGTGTATAGGGCCTATATATATATATATCTAGTGGCATTAACACAACAATGATATTCATGTGTGATATGTTGTCCGATTTCAATGACATCACTAGCGTTCATACATTGGCTAACAAACTGAAGTTTGCTTATAGCATGTGTTGAACGTACTGTTCTGAAATCAACCACATTGAAAGTAATTGTTCAAATAATATTTGGCCTCCTAAATAATGACTGATTTGTTTGGTTATCAAACGGTACTCGGTACATAAAAGTTGACATAAGAGAATGGGACATATCTTAGGAACGGTTATGTGTCCGTAACCGTTCCTTAATTATGTTACCATTCCCACAGGGAAACAAAATATTAAGAGGAAGAAGGGACGAACAAACATATAATTGGCTGTTGGATTGACAAGAGTTGCTTGACAACTGTGTGAGGATTTTAACGAAACGTGGTATCATAATAGAATATAGAAGTTGTCATTCATAAAATACCGTGCCTTTACTGATATAATTGGCTCTCTGTACACAACGTAAGTGTAAGTATAAGCTACATGTAGTGAGGTGAGGTGAAATTGGGTTTAACGTCGCGTCCAAGATTATTGCACTTATATAGCGACGTGCGTGCACGTGTATTTGTGTGTGTGGCTGCTTGTACTAGTCCGGACTGATGCCGATTTATAGTGCTAGCTCACTGAGATACCATGCCGCAGTTTAACATGAATACCCCACTCAGACACAGTATACTGACTCCGAGCCGACCAGTCCTTGTTTTAGCCCCTTAATGCCGAGCGCCAGACAGGGTAACAACAAGTACAATCTTTTAACGTCTTTTTGTATGACGCGGCCCGGGATCGAACCCTGGACCTTCCGCTCTCCGGGCGGACGCTCTACCACAAGACCACGGAGGCGGTCAGCTACATGTAGTAATAGCAAGACATTAACATTATTCATCAACATATTTTATGTTAATTCTGTTTCGGTCCTACACAGGCTCCATAGATTATAACTTAAGGGATAACCCTAAAACAGTGAAGTGTAAAACAAAAGCATGTACAGATTCATTTATACGAGGTGAGGTGAGGTGAGATTGGGTTTAACGTCGCGTCGAAGATTATTGCACTGATATTAGCGACATGCATGCACATGTGTGTGTGTGTGTGGCTGCTTGTACTAGGCCGGACTGATGCCGATTTATAGTGCTAGCTCACTGAGATACCAGTTGTAGTTAAACATGAATATCCCAATCAGATACAGTATACTGACTCCGAGCCGACCAGTCCTTGTTTTAGCCCCTTAATGCCGAGCGCCAGACAGGGTAACATCTTGTAAAGTCTTTTGGTTAAGAGGTGGCCGGGGATCGAACCCCGGACCTTCCGCTCTTCGGGCGGACGCTCTACCACTAGACCACGAAGGCGGTCTTCATTTATACGAGCTACAACACGACATTGGAATAGGCTACCAGAAAAAAACCGTTACTTAATGTAAGAACGTGGTACATGGAAGGGGATTTCAAATATTGAAACAGGTTGTGTCAAATTATTCACAGTCGCCACAAGTGTGGCTTCAGTGATTAAACGCAGATCAGTATAATAGACATATTTTGGATATCTCTGTGGATATCAAACGAAAGATGTTTTACATGTCTTTTTCATGTGTACAAATTACTTCAATCTTCGAAATGAAATGTAATTTTACCAACCTGGATACTCTTTACAAACACTGCGATGCGGAAATTCGTATTTGAGTAAGGTGAGGTGAAATTGGGTTTAACGTCGCGTCCAAGATTATTGCACTTATATAGCGACGTGCATGCACGTGTATGTGTGTGTGTGGCTGCTTGTACTAGTCCGGACTGATGCCGATTTATAGTGCTAGCTCACTGAGATACCATGCCGCAGTTTAACATGAATACCCCACTCAGACACAGTATACTGACTCCGAGCCGACCAGTCCTTGTTTTAGCCCCTTAATGCCGAGCGCCAGACAGGGTAACAACAAGTACAATCTTTTAACGTCTTTTTGTATGACGCGGCCCGGGATCGAACCCCGGACCTTCCGCTCTCCGGGCGGACGCTCTACCACAAGACCACGGAGGCGGTCTATTTGAGTAAGAGGTCAAATCCAAATATTAGATTTTGTTTAAAACTTTGTATAATTCAATGGTTACAGTCATCCTTCACTGATGTAATACTTTATCATGTTTTATGTGTCACGGAGCGGGTTTGACACAAGCGGTTCGCTTGTTTTCCAATCCATTTTCATATTCTAGAGAAAATATATGTGTTCAAATCAGGACGAAGTTGTTGCTATATGAAAGCCGCATGCCAATTTCCCGATGACGTTATGGTACTACAGTATTCATGTTCAATAGACGAATAAAGTGGTCATTCTACCTGTCCACTAAACCAATCGTGATTGGAAAAACCCCATTATTTTTAGGTCCTAAATTGTGCACGTATCTGTCAAACGATTTGGATAATTTCCCGGGCGTAAGCATTTCCTCAACAACACAGAAAAGTGTATATTTAAGAACAACTACTAAAACCCTTACCAGTCGATATGACGAAGTAACACAGGTTCGAATATTAAGGGATTAAAAAACCAATAAAACATAAGGAGCACATATGTACATTAAGCCATTATGTTATTCTTTGCTTATAACGCCGCAGTCAGCAGTATTACAGCTATATGACGGCGGTCTGTAAATAGCCAGGTCTGGACCAGACAATCCAGTGATTGACATCATGACCATCGATATACATGTACGTAATTGGGATACGATGACATGCCTGTCCACCCGATCCTGTTAGTCGCCTCTTACGACAAGCATAGCCGCCAGTTACAATGGTTGTGAAGACCTAATTTAACCCGGATCTTTCTATAAGGCATTCTGACATGCAGCGCTATGTGTATACGGTTGATCCTCACTTTGCTACCACACTGATGGAGATTAACGGTTACCGTGTTTATACAAATTAAGCGTCAAAACTTGTTTCCATATTCATAAGAAATCTACGAATCGAACATTATACCGCGCATGTGTTTTCCAATCATTTTCAAATAGTGATGACACCAGGTGTTCACGAAAAGGTGAGCGTATCCTGCCCTACCGGCGGTATGTGTCACAAACACATGCAAAGGCAAGTCAATTGTTCACCTGAAAAATACACAGGAACATATGGTGTAAGTCCAAATATGGAATTACACATGTTCTTCTCCAACACAATCCCAAATATGTATTCTCACCCGCCATGTTGGTTTGGAAAGGCGACGTTTCCCTGGCAACAACCTAGATGGCGTGAAAGTGACCATATATGTCTGTGCGGTAGACCTAATTGTGTGTCTTGACCAATGTTGCCAGACATAAATTGCCTTGTGTATCATGGGCTTCACTTAAAAGCCCAAAAGATCGATGGAATCTTAAATCAAATACACACATTTCAAAGTGGTTAAATGGAACTTGAAGTAGAACTATTTATTTAAATTAGCATATAAGGGCTATCCGCTCTATACCAATAATAATATATTGAAGTTTGAAACAAATCAACGTTCAATGAGTGTTCATCCAATATTGTGATACCCTGGCCTATATTTATATCCGTTAACGTAGGAGTTTTAGCAAAATAAAAGTTACTGGTAATTTAAGTGGGAACATACTTTTACGTGCCTCTGATCAATTCATGTACGCATCTCTATCAACTCGTTTGTTGCGTTGTTGCGTCCAATCATGACAATATCTGCTTGTCTTTGGTTCAGATCCTTAGTTTACCCAAGTATATCATAGCTGGTCTGTAAGCATCCGTGCACGGATTTAACATGGTAATAACATCGACGACTTGAGTCACATCGGACATTCTTTTTATGAATCTATCACCATAGGATATAACAGAAATATTACCGAAGGTAGAGTTATAAACCAATTTTATCATGTAGGCTGAAGCAATTCTAAAGAGGTATAACCAAATTTTCTTCTGATAACGAAACCATATTGCCGTGATTCATTGTTGAATTTACAAGACTCATCAGAAAACAATTGTCCAAAACACAATCGTACAACGTAACACAGTCTTTGGAATCTGACCGTCTTGACGTCATTTGTACCATACACTGGACATGTTGTTGTACAAGCAGGGACAGGGGGATTAGATTAATACACACATGATGTACAAACTACAAACAAGTTACAAATACAGTAAACTACGGTTATAACGAACACGCTTATAACTCAACTGACCCATATAAGGAACCTTTTGTTGTATATATGCTATATATCTGCTTATAACGAACTACGGTTATAACGAACTAAAATTAGTGGTCCCTTTGAGTTAGTTATAACCGTAGTTTACTGTACATGAAATCTGCTGACCGTTGTTGGTTTTGAAGACAACAAAGCCGACGATTCTGCAATTAGACACATCTACACAACTCATAATTTTTTTTTATTGCTGTGTATGTCGATCGATGTAATTTGCGGTTGCCCACCACTAGTTAAACAAAATGGACGCACACATATATCCTTTTTTATCACATAATTAAAGGTAAATGCTATTTATAATAATATTCCCTATAATATTTAAGAAATAAACAACGACCACGAGTCGTTTATTTCTTATCTGAAATATCGACATTATTTTCTCTCTCCCTGAAGATGTTCATAAAATTTGCAAGGTTGGAAAATATTTACCCCGTATTTAAATAATGATGACTTCCTGAAAACAATCCGACCTCGGCCATGTCGCAGAAGTCTGTTTTATGAACAGGGGGTTAAGTTTGATATTTCTCCGATATTTTCACATTTCCTACGTCTATTATCTGTACATTTTCGTAGTACAATGTGTTAGCGTTAAATATACCACGCTTCGTCATTGTTCTTTGCGATTTATCGCGTAGCTATCGTGTATTCATCAATAATTTGTTTACTCCAAAACCAATTAATTATAGGAAGGAGTAAGAAAAATGACGGTAAAAGGTGAAATAAAACAACAAGCAGGAATTAGATCACCCTATAATACACTAGGGGGTTTGGAAGAGCGTCGCAGATTGTTACAGATCATTTATTAAAATTTTAACATTTTATGATAAAAATGACTGACGTTTCACAATCTGGCTTCAGCGTATATGTAGCGTTATATTTCAGCGTTTTTCAAGCACTGAAACCAAGTGCAAGTAGTTTTTTTAAAGTTTCCACACGATATTTACTTTTTCCAAGCTACCACTGATATTGCCGTTGACATTATTTCCAATGTGGCGTCGACTTTAACATCCTTGTGTAAAGCCCATTTACGTTCTTGCAGACAAAAAAGACGAAAGTGTTTATAAAATAATATAAATTGCAAGTGTTTCCATTGCATTTGAGTGTATTACCAAGCAAGATTTTTTGCGTTTGTTTCCATCAATCTGAAAAGATAAGGACACGCCCAGGAGGAGACTACTGTCTCCTGTTTACTTAATTATTTCAGAACTGACTTTGAGATGGATGTATAAACAAAACATATTGAAGTCAATTCTAAATTGAACCCAGATTGGGAATCGAACCCGGGTCTTCGGCACTGAAGACGAGCGAAAGCGATAGCCTTAGGCTATGCCCAAATCCATTACTTTTTAAAAAATATATATGCTGGTTGCGAATAACATTTATCTATCTGCACTGCTAGCTGTTGACAATTGACCGAAATGTACGAGAATATCGCGTACGTTTATTGATTTGACAAGACATACGACACTGTACTGAACTGCACCGTATGACTGTATTCCCAACTTATAATAAAACTCACAGAGTGTCGATTGCCATGTAAATACTAGTACATGGCATGGCGGAGGATACAGGCGAAACTTCCTTCTACATAATTAAATAGTTTGTGCATTGGTGCCTGCTCTCGAAACAATGTGATTCATTTGATTAAGCACTGGTATTTCCCCTGTGCAAACTCATTCGAATTGTTCGCTCTTCGACTACTGAGTGTCGGATAGAGGTCACGAGATAGATTTGATATTTGCAACTACGTTATGGTGACTATGACAGTATGTTTGAACATATATGCTTTTCGCGAGGCAATGCCATGACATACCCTGATAACTTTTAAATCAATGTTTTAAATCATATGTTTGCGGTGCGAGTGCTCTGTCAGGCTTATTCATTATTACCATCATGAAACCTGGACTACATATTTATTAAACAGAAGAGTCCTTTCCGAAACACAGTCAGGTCCGAGAGGGCGCACATTTTCATCACCCAATCCTGAGTATTGTCAGGTCTTAGAACATTCGGGTACTCGAACCTACATGTATTCTACCCTTAAGCCGTAAATTATGACGTTAATTAAATATCGTTTCCAGAAAATATATACAAAATGAAGTTAGAGCATGCTTTAATTTGCGTTTTTGAAGCAGAGTGACAAGACTTGCTGGGGTGACATATACACCTTGATGTATCGTAATGTGGGGGACGAGCACGTCAGCCGACGTCTGGCACACGTGGGCAAGTTCAACTGCAGCGGTTTCGTCTATAACTACACCCAACTTCTTCCAAACCTGGAATACGGCTTCAATGGCAGGCTCTTTGTAGCATCAACAATGAGGGTATTGTTAATTTCCTTTAACCTATCATTCCTACACATGACACTGAAAGTTACTTGTATTCTATGAGGTTTTGTGGAATTGTGGTATCGTTGGTTGTTTAGCTTTAACGGGATACTAGGATAAGGTCAACTGGCAATGCCAGCATGTTTGATTCAAGTTATTAAGACTCTTCTCAGCTAGTTTGCCATGTGATTATTATGCATGTCGGTCTTGCAGATAATGATTACCCTTAATGCACAGAGATAATGTCGGTATTTCAAACATAATTTCGAGAACCGAAAATTTGTACCCGACAGCCTTGTTAATGCTTTTAGAAGGGACATATATATTTATTTGATTGAGTAATAGACTACAACAATGTTTCTATGGACCGAGTATCTCATTCTCCCAAGACATGCAACGTCTTTCTTTAAATGAACCACACAGGCGGAGGTACAACATAATTTCATAAAGACAGCCAGTGAACAATGTGAGACAAAATTAACTCCACGCACCAAACGAAACCCGCAGCATATAAAATGGTCGGCATATAAAATATTTTAGATGCAGTCTTACTTCTCATGATCGATTGAATCGATTCTAAAATTAGTTTACGCTTTGCTTCACTGTAAGCACGTGGGTGTTGTTGACATTGTATTGTGAAGTGATGCACTTCGGTGCTGATCGTCAGTTCGAATACTTGATTCACGTTCATTATGGCTTATGATCTTTTTAGCATCAGCCAAGTGATAACCGTAAACTTTGGGTATCCTCCCAAATTCACAAGCCGTGATATAACTGAAACTGTTCAAGCTGTGTAACCCTACTTACTCAGTTACAGTCGAACCCGGTTATCGCGAACCTAGCGGTGTTCGAGATATCCGGAGGTTCGAGACAACGAGGCATGAGCATCCAGAGAGATCAAGTAACAATTATGTATGTGAACCTGTGAACTACACTTCCTTTCAGTGGGTTCCTTTCACGTTTGTACACAACATCTCCGGGCAGCTGCAGTTCGAGGGCCTGTGTGTAGATATGCTGCATGAATTATCTCTCACACTCAACTTCACGTACGTCCATTTCCTTTGACAATACCTTGAATAAACCAACTCAAATATCACGTCCACCATGCAATTCATTCTGATGTGATTCCTCCATGATGTATTGTTCCTTGTTCTTGTTACCTATTCAGAAATATTAACAAACAAGCTTCTCCCTTCTCTCTCATCAAATGGTATCGATTTATCTCTTTTCTTTGTAGAATACAAAAAGGCTTTCAAGACTATACATTCATTTTCAATAGTTACTTAAGTGATGTGCAGTATCTTTACATCAAGGCTCTTATGATTGACTATGCTGATAAATTCACCATTGTGGCTACCTCTTCTCCAGGTACAAAGTCAAGCTCCCTATTGATGGGGAATGGGGCCTCGAGATAGCGCCGGGTGTGTGGACTGGAATGGTTGGAGAGCTTCAGAATAATGTTAGTCATGTTAATATATACCACAAAAGCTTTGATAGATATATCTCATTAATTTCGTGAATTATATATGATATGCATTTGTAAAACGTATCGAATATCTCAGTAACCCTATGTATGTTGATAACTTAAGCCCCGTTAAGTCGAATTCTGTTATCTTGATATTTAGTTTACGACTACTAAAGAGTAGTCCCCGTGGAATCGTTATCGGTACTACAAGTATGATCTGAAACTGCTTCCTCTCGAACAACAGATAACTCGACATATATTCGTGGGCCTCACATCATACACTACATGTACCTTTCTTTTGATGTATATTGGTTCTAGAATGATATGAATAATCCAGGAAGGCAGATTACTAGTCGTTTGATCTCTAGTCTCCAAGATGTGTCACTGTCGGTGAACTCTTTACATGGACACCGGGTCATTGTGTCCATTTCATACTTGCCTTCTGTGATTTCACGTTTGAACTGATCATGAACAACCTATGATTGATTTTGTATGGACCAAAACATAGAACCTGCGTTATCATGATCATGATAGTCAATATCAGCATTTGAATGAATGTCATAAATATTAGAAAAAAACGCTTTTGGCTGACGTGATGCGTGTTGATAGACAAGATTCACAGACTAGATATACAACTATTGCCTATGACTATTTCCTAACGATTATGTCAGATCTTATTTGGACACTGATCCAAAGTCAGCTCTACCTTCGATAAGGACAATTGACGGATGAGGCAGTCGGACCGTTTTTTGTTTCGCCTTGTATACTTTTCGTTGTTGTATTTAATCCGACGTGGTTGGTTACAACTATTTATTAAAGCAATCTCACATTTCACAGTCACTATTTTTTATTATCCTCCTTCATGTCTACACTTTCAGCAAATTGACCTAACTGTGGCAGCATTGACCATCTCGTCTTCTCGGCTTAAAGTGATGGACTTCACATACCCGTTTGGGTACGACAAGGGTGTCGGAGTGTACCGCATCCCGAGTACTGAGTCCTCACAATGGAAGACTCTGTTCTTTCCTTTCTCGTGGCAAGTGCACATGTGTCTCGCCATCTCCTTTGTGTTCTCCGTGTGTCTACTCTACTGCCTCCAGTGGGTGAGCAGAGATAAGGCGAAGAACGACCTGGATTTGGGAGATACCACTTTACTGATCTGGGGGATGTTTATTCGTTACAGTGAGTAAACTATGCGAATGAGCAATTCATAATGCACATGACAATTTCTGAACAATCCCATAGGTGTATTCATGACAATTCTTAATGGATAGCAACTTCTTATTTTCTTTGTACGACGTTTCAGAGCTACTTCTTGCTCCTTCACCAGGTGAGTTGGGTTTAACGCCGCTTTTAACAGTATTCCAGTTATATCACGGCGTGTCAGCTTAATGTGGGAGGAAAGCCCGAAGTGATGTAGGTCTCAGGCGTTTACCACTTCGGTGAAACCCACGAGCACGGGCATGGTGGTGACCAGCCTAGAAACATAATCGGGGTGAACCGGGATTCGAACCCACAATCATAGGTTTCTGGCGTGTCCAGGGGACGCAACTCTGCACAGCGAATCGCGGCGCCTTAGACGACTGGGCCACATCCCCACCCCCCACCTCCCCCCCTCCACCCCAGGAGGAGCAAGGAGAGGCACTGTAACGTCGTACAAAGAATAAAAGGAGTTGCTACCCCCCAAAAACAAAGTGTCATGTATTCATGTTCTCCCAACTTCTAAATACCTCTTAACGATTAAATTAGATTAAATATCAATAATGAAATATATACCATAGGTGTACATCTTTCGCGGATCCAGAGGGGTGTGGTGTAATGGAGTGGGTGCTTGAGATGAAACACTACCGATAGTTAAAACAGTTACCATAATATAGGCTATATTGTATATTAAGTTAGTTATATTATCTTCCTGTTGTTTTATATTCTCATATTGTGATTGTGAATTTTCATGCAGAGATTCCAATATGCATAGGGAAACAGAAAGTTAAATTCGTTCATTGCAAGGGCAACACCGTTCTTATTGTTCGTTGTGTGGTATCACCCCATGTCCGATTCTTTCTCGTTACATACGTGAGTGAGTTGCGTTCGACGCCGCTTTGAACAGTATTCCTTTTATATCACTGCGTGTCCGCTTGATGTGGTAGGAAAGCCCTCAGGGATACATGTTTTAGACCTTTACCATTTTAGTGAAAACCACGAGCACGAATATGGTGCTGACAAACCCGCGACCATAGGTTTCTGGCGTGCCCAAGGGACGCAACTCTGCATAGTGATTAGCGGCGCCCTCAGACGACTGGGCTACCCAAGCCCCTTGTAAGATGCGACTAAAATGACTGGGTCAGTTAACATCTCCTCGGCTATATGTTGACTGTATGCTATCGTACGCCGACGGTATTTGTTCGTTTTCCTCAGACTCGACTTTATATGTAGTGGCCTACAGGAGAGTATAATATCATTCACCATACTTCCTTGAAATTTCCCTTGCAAATTTAAGTTTTTATTTTGGGAATTGACGCGGAAGATATTGCTATGTTTAACTGCACAATTACCCCCTGGGTTTAACAACTACAAGTGTACCTACCAAGGATTTGATAAATAATAACAATTGCTAAGGTGCATGGTATAGCTACATCTTTGTGAAATATGTACTTCACAAATGATAATATATTTCACTTTAAGTTAGTAATATTTCCTTTTTGTAAATGGGACACAGGGATTAAGGCCCAGTTGCAGAAAAGACAGAAACCTATGATCGTGGAATTCGAATCACGGTTTGCCATGATTATGTTTCCAGATTTTGTCAAGATCATATGTATCCTTGCATGGTTATCCATGGTTGTCATACCATGATTTGTCCCTGTGTGATATAGGGGCACGAGTGGTCTAAGGCACCGCACAATTCGCTGCGCAGAAACCTGTGATGCGGAGACGAATCGCCGACGAATATTTGTCAGTACTAAACCCGTGCTTGTGGGTCTCACAAAAGTGGTAAACTGCTGTGTAACATCACTTCTGGCTTTTCAGCCACATCAATTGACATGCTGTGACGACAAGCTTTAACGTCATCTTCCCCTTCTCCACAGGCTACGACGTGAAATCGACATCCCTAGCGACCAGCTTCTTCATCAGCTTCGTGTGGTTGTTTGGTACCGTCACTACTGCCATATACTGTGGAAACCTGATGGCATTCTTTGCTGTAGCCAAGGAAACGCTGCCTTTCCGCACAATACCGGAAGTAGCAGCTCAAAGCGAGTACAAATGGGGCACACAGGGGGGCTCATTTTGGGTGAATATATTCGAGGTGAGTATGAGGCCTTGTTCACAGTAAGTTTATTGGGAATGTAGGACGTTCTTTAATATCAGTATATACTGCCCAAAAGAAGAAAATGACCACCGGTTCTACCATATTTCCATAGTTAATCTGTCATCGCATGACAGATTAAGTATAGTAATATGACAGAATCGGGTGGACCTTAACTTCTTTTGACCAGTATAAAGCATAAGGCAATAGTAGAAAAATATACCTGAAAGAGGTTCGTTTGCTCGCAAAAACATCGATGCCAGCGCTGGGTTAGAAGAGTTACTTCCCGTACATTTCAAAGTTCATGCCAAGGAAGATATTTTACTGACGCTACAATCGTTACATATGCTATTCCCTTGATCTTTTGTGTATGTGTTTTACGATAGGGTGAGTGAGTGATTTCAACTGTTTTCCAGAAAAGGGGCTACAAAGAGAATAAGCGAGCGAATAACAGCCAGCTGTAAATTATCACGGCGGCCTGTAAATAATATTCTATATCAGGATGATCAGCGATTCTGGTCTTAGAGGCACAATACCATGCGATAGCTATGATATGCCATGATGAGGTGAAATGGGGTTTAACGTCGCGTCCATATCATTGCACTTATATAGCGGTCCTTGTACTAGTCCGGACTATTTTATAATGCTGTCCCACAACAGAGGTACCATGCCGCAATTTAACATGAATACCCCACTCAGACACAGTATACCGACTCCTAGCCGACCAGTCCTCGTTTTAGCCCCTTAATGCCGAGCGCCAGACAGGCCAACAACAAATACCATCTTTTAAACGTCTTTTGGCATGAGGCGGCCGGGGATCCAACCAAAGGACGCACCACGATATAAGTGGAATACCCAAAACAGCTTTCAACCCACAAGGATTTGACATGAAACTCCTGAACTATTCAACCTGGTCACACATTTAATCTTTGCGCATCACCACGTGTGAGAAAGGTGTTGTTGGGTCGCGGGATGTTCTGGTCTATCACTTGATTGTTTGGTTTAGAGTACTGCTGTGCGGCGTCAGGCTACAAGCTAAATACTTCCTTTTTTAGAAAATGGTATGAGTGTTGGGTGCCACAGGTAGGACAGGACATGCTTAACCTGGTGTCATCGCTGATTTTCAGTCATATAATTGTCAGCTCTATTTTACCTTTTAGGACCAGAGGAATCTGCTTCGTTGGATAGTAGAGACTGGATATTGTCTGGCGTTAACATTTTATATTTACTTAAATACAACGTTCTCATTGACTCTCTTTATTTTGCAGTTTGGTAAATCCAGTGATTACAAAGCGATATGGAGCGGGATTAAAAAATTCAATCAGACGGACCCTAATGTGCTACACAGCGATGAATATTTGCACCGCGAAAAGGTTGAAGCTGGTAAATATATATTTTTTGTGGAAGCGGACATGTTAAAGGGCTGGGCCAGTGAGAACTGTGAACTGAGGCTACTGGAGGACTCCGTATATCAAGTACGCTATGGAATAGGACTGCCAATTGATTCTCCATACACAAAACTTTTCTCTCAAAAGTGAGTTAAATTATTTGCATCCGATTGTTCTTATCGATGGCGTGGATCTGTGTCAGTATTGTCACATATTCCTATTGTAATCACACCGTGTCTCAGAAAATTCTCTCTCTCTCTCTCTCTCTCTCTCTCTCTCTCTCTCTCTCTCTCTCTCTCTCTCCCTCTCTCTCTCTCTCTCTCCCTCTGAAATTGTGAAACTTGTATAACTGTTTCTGACTTCCGTTGTATCATGACTTGGCTTTAACTATGAAGGCAGTCGAAGCTGTAGTATCAGTGAACACAAGTTTTCAAAGACTTCAACGAAATATAACGAAGTGACAAAACCCTTTCCATAGTCATAAGACATCTCTGCTGAAATAAGAATCCATTGTACGATACCGAATAGGTTCATAATGGGATGTACGATTTAACATGTACTAGCAAATGTGTTCCCAACATTAATCGGGTATCAGGACAAACAAGGTTTCATGGGATATAATGGTCATTCAGAGGCGGATAAAAAGAACTGAGTCACCGAAGAATAACTTCAAATAAATCATTATTAATGCCTGAATAGGAAATCATGTATTTCCCTCATAACTTTTTGTCATTTTAACGCGCAGGTTGGTGGCATTCTCCGAAGAAGGCTTGTTTGTCGCCTGGAAGAAAAAGTGGTGGCGAGGGGAGGATGAATGTTCAGACGGGAAGAAAATGGCAACACGAGCCATGACACTGGGGGACTTGCAGAGCGCGTTCTATATCCTGGTTATTGGCATTTTCATGGCGATTTTGGCCATCATGTATGAAAAGGTAGTACAGTGTCGACGGCGATCAAAGTCGGGAGGTACACAACAGCATCCTGCTTCATAGTATTCAGCTGAGACTCCTCTTCTTGGAACATGGACTATTTAACAGTGTTGCTTTAATGACTTATGTGCCAAATTATCAATACATGGTGAAGGTGTCATGTTAACTGCCGTTTTGAAAGTATTTTAGTTCTATCATTGCCTGTCAACTTTAGGGAATTGGAGGGTTTGTATCGTTTGTTAAATCTAAGAGTACGGGAATGATGCTGATCAATACAGAAAGCATCATGATCTTGGCGGAAAGGAGATTCGAACCTTCGAGCCTGGGATCCCGGATGCATCATGTTAGGGAAGCATCTCCGGCTGATATTGTAGTAGCGCTTTGACTACTGGGCCAGTCCTGCCTTCAGCACCTGTATAAATGTACAAATATACTTGATCATAATTGATAAATATTCTGAATATAAGTGTCCATCCACTATTGTATTATTAAATCCAAGAGGATCGAATCATACACGTACACGATTATATATGTATGATGTGTCTATGTATGTATATGTGTGTATATTAATTATATAAATTATGATTGTATATACCGGATTGATTTATCTCGATTGCATATATCAATTTTATGACAAGAGTGTTTTACTAAATTATGTGACCAAACCACGTCCATATATGCATACATGCTTGCAATATTCAAGCGGTACAAATAATATTAGCATCTTACAGTAACCATGTTTCGGCATTATGGACGTACCATTTCATATTTATGGAGATTTGGAATTTATTGGAAATACATAATTTTGCTTCAGATTTGGAAGAAGCAAAAATAATTGGCATTGTTTGATGCCTTGTTATTAATGTGTTCATATCTTCCTTTATGAATGACTGCCAAACATTTGTTTGCAAATCCTACCCCTAACCCCAAATAGTTAATGGTCGGTCCCTACTACATAACGAAGCTGTCATGAGGTCAACTCTATTTGTACTTTCTTATATCAATAAACGTCATATATGTATATGTACAGAACTGTAGTGTTTATACTTGCTGTGAGTACATCTTTAAGCTTTAGATATGATGTGTCTTAAATTCGAACTTTCCATAATCGATAGGGAACCCTCCCGGTATTGTTTCAAAAATGACAATATCTATAACTTCTTATATTCTAATTTGTGAAAGCCAGTATGAAACAAATTTGTTTAAGTAGCAGGTTAGGCCCTATACCACAGTTCAGTGGATTTGCCTCCCTTCCACCAGTGTGTGTGGGTAATCGCAAACAGATCACGTGACGAAAGTGACCTCATCCATTCGTGACCAACTCGTGTTATTCCGGGACAAGCCGAATAGCGACTCGTGCCCCTCTCCTGTCCATTTTTGCGACCGGGTTCTGTCTTAGCACAAACGTACATACCTAAAACAATTGTCAACTCGTTGTGTAATGGTTCACATATATTTCCCCATATATTATATATATTTCAGATGGAAATTAAAGCACATCGGGAAATGCGGAATTATACAGTATGATTGAACAAATTTAACTGTATCTTTGGTTTATTTTAAGATGCAAAACATATGTAAAATCAAAAATTATTTCTGATGGATTCTTTGACCGAAGAACTTGAAATCATACGCGCATTCTGATTGGTTTGTCGTATTTTCGCACCTAACATTCATCGATAGGGGGACGAGTCTTCTTGCAGTTTACGGAAAGGGGAGAGTGGTGACGAATGAACATTCATCGATAGGGGGACGAGTCTTCTTGCAGTTTACGGAAAGGGGAGAGTGGTGACGAATGAACATTCATCGATAGGGGGACGAGTCTTCTTGCAGGTTACGGAAAGGGGAGAGTGGTGACGAATGAACATTCATCGATAGGGGGACGAGTCTTCTTGCAGTTTACGGAAAGGGGCGAGTGGTGACGAATGAACATTCATCGATAGGGGGACGAGTCTTCTTGCAGTTTACGGAAAGGGGCGAGTGGTGACGAATGAACATTCATCGATAGGGGGACGAGTCTTCTTGCAGTTTACGGAAAGGGGAGAGTGGTGACGAATGAACATTCATCGATAGGGGGACGAGTCTTCTTGCAGGTTACGGAAAGGGGAGAGTGGTGACGAGTGAACATTCATCGATAGGGGGACGAGTCTTCTTGCAGTTTACGGAAAGGGGCGAGTGGTGACTAATGAACATTCATCGATAGGGGGACGAGTCTTCTTGCAGTTTACGGAAAGGGGAGAGTGGTGACGAATGAACATTCATCGATAGGGGGACGAGTCTTCTTGCAGTTTACGGAAAGGGGAGAGTGGTGACGAATGAACATTCATCGATAGGGGGACGAGTCTTCTTGCAGGTTACGGAAAGGGGCGAGTGGTGACGAATGAACATTCATCGATAGGGGGACGAGTCTTCTTGCAGTTTACGGAAAGGGGCGAGTGGTGACGAATGAACATTCATCGATAGGGGGACGAGTCTTCTTACAGGTTACGGAAAGGGGAGAGTGGTGACGAATGAACATTCATCGATAGGGGGACGAGTCTTCTTGCAGTTTACGGAAAGGGGAGAGTGGTGGCGAATGAACATTCATCGATAGGGGGACGAGTCTTCTTGCAGGTTACGGAAAGGGGCGAGTGGTGACGAATGAACATTCATCGATAGGGGGACGAGTCTTCTTGCAGTTTACGGAAAGGGAAGAGTGGTGACGAATGAACATTCATCGATAGGGGGACGAGTCTTCTTGCAGTTTACGGAAAGGGGAGAGTGGTGACGAATCAACTTCATCATACATCTTCAAGAGTACACCATCAATCAGCCACACGCATATCTCATAGGCGCTAAAACAATTGTCAACTCGTTGTGTAATGGTTCACATATATTTCCACATATATTATATATATTTCAGATGGAAATTAAAGCACATCGGGACATGCGGAATTATACAGTATGATTGAACACATTTAACTGTATCTTTGGTTTATTTTAAGATGCAAGAGATATGTAAAATAAAAAATTATTTCTGAGGGAATTCTTTGACCGAAGAACTTGAAATCATACGCGCATTCTGATTGGTTTGTCGTATTTTCGCACCTAACATTCATCGACAGGGAGACGAGTCTTCTTGCAGGTGACGGAAAGGGGCGAGTTGTGACGAATGAACTTCATCATACATCTTCAGGAGTACACCATCAAGCAGCCATAGGCAACAGATTATTTATGATCTTAGGGTAATTTCTTGTCCGTACGTTTGGTAAGAAGAATGATATCAGGTCGGAGATCGAAGAAGCGGAAGATCCAAGCATCCAGTGACCGGAAATCATCACGGAAATTGGCTCGAGTCAACAAATCACCGAATCGAGGTTCTCAGCCCGGCGATGCAGACAGCATGGCGTCAACTACTGTCCCTTGGTCGTCGCAGCCCTTCGTCACGAGGAATGGATCAGGTGATGTATTACCTCATGTTTTCGATACTGATGCACGATCTCATGTAGTGATAGGCTGAGATATCCCAAATATCCCACTAGTACAGTCAGTAAATCACTATTCACACGCTCTCGCATCTGTTGCCATTGACAACGATACGCCTCACATGCCTAATGCTTTGACTGCATGTACTGGTGACAAAATGGTGGCTTTGTCAACTGACAGCATTGGTTCTTTCATCCCACAACCAATAAGGGATAAAATACACAATGGAGAATATGTAGATCTGGCCACCCTCATTAAGGGATTGGATAAGAAGAAGAAAAAGAAGAGGAAAATTATTTTATTACAGTGCCACCTGGTGTTTAAAGACAATAAAAAACATTACACGTATACATACGTATGATATATAAAAAACATCAGCCGACCCATGAAGGATCTATGAGGCACTTAAAACCATTAAATTATCCATTAAATTGGCAAGAATAATACACGAACATAATCGAAAGCACACAAACACACACATACACACACACACACACACACACACACACACACACACACACATAAATATTACACACATTTCATTTTTTAATAACACATGGAAGTTCACCACATCCACTCAATATCACGTGCGCATACATCACATACAAACACTGACCACATACTCAATTATCATTCACAAAAACATATACAATATATACATCACTGCCCGGCACGTTGTCGCCGGAGAAACATTGACGTCACTGTTGCGGCCAGAGGTTTACACAAACTGACACACTGCATAAGGAAGCGAAGTTGATAAGGAACAAGGTAATGATAGCACTATCAGAGTAAACTCAATGGGTCATTTGAAAATGACATACAGTCAATTGAAGAGTGGACAACGGCCTTTATCATAATTGTCAGCATATACCTGGATAAAATCCCCGAAAGCCACCAGCAAATGCTTATATATTTACACACAATTAGATTGGCCGCTAGCAGGGGCCAGGGATGGCAAAATTTTGATACGCAGTTTAGGTTGCGCATGGGTAGATCCACGACATGTCATGGGACACAATCAACGCGGAATTGTTGATGCTATGCCTGAATGTCACTCCCCAACACGTGAACCGCAGTTTCACCACTTTCAAGCAGGCTTCACAATCCCCAAATGCAGATACCTTAAAAGTTGTTTTGGAGGGGATTTCTATGCCCCTGGTAAATTTTGTTGCGGGCAACATTGCCGCTTTCTCCATGTTTGTTATCAGTGTGGTGGCAGCCACCTTTTCCCAAAGTGCTAATTAAACTAAGCAGTTACAGGAAATCAACCAACCCAAGATGTTATTACAATTCAGTTTCACAACAGAAACTACCCAAAACATGCAAGCATTGGGCCATTCACCTATCAAAGTAGATTAAAATATCAGCATACTTGGAGTCCATTGTTAACTGATGCCAGTATTCTTCGTTGTAGTTTCACGGACGGATTTCATTTACATTACACAGGCCCCAGAGAGACAAGTTTAGTTTGTATTAACCTTAAATCACCTCAAGATGCCAATATGGAACAAAATGTACTACGGAAACCTTCCAATGATGTACAATTAGGCCGAATGCCCGTCCATATCATAACCTACCTTTACCAAACCTGAAGATCTCTCCTATTGGAATCGTTTAAAAGAAAGAAGTAGACGGGTACTGCCTCATCCACCACTTATTGTATCCAGACGAATGTCGGTGAATGTTTCATCAACCCAAGCCTTTGTTCAGTAACCTATTCATCCATTGACGATTGCAATTTTGATTATTTAGGAGCTTGGACCGGGGGCATACTCAACAAAGGCCGACATGAAAAGCGTTTTCCAGTTATGCATAGTGCATCCTCATGATTTTCACTTACAAGGAATAAAATTCTTACATAAATTTTATGTCGACAAAGCATTACCATTTGGGTGCAGTAAAATGTGCTCAATATCCTGTGGATAGTTCAAACAAAGTTAAATTCTCAAGGTGAGTTAATGCAATACTTGGACGACCACCTGTGCAGAGGATCTGGAAGAGATAAGTCAGAATGTCAGTTATTTCTGTCTAAGTTATAAGCAACATGCGACGAACTCGGAATCCCAATAGCCAGTCACAAAACAGTAACACCAACACCATTAATCAGCATCAGTTGAATGTCTCATTGGTTCACTGATGGTAGGGCCATTCCCATTAACAGAGCTTTCTTGCGGAGATCCATTGATTCGATTTGTTGTATTAAGAAGCTCCTTCATAAAGTTAGGGTAACTAGGAATATGAAAGATGATTTTCAGAATTGGCTTTCATTCGTGGACAATCATAATGGAACGTCATTATTCCTGGATCAATTCTGGATTAACAATGAAGCATTTAACTCTACACAGACAGTGCATAGGATTTGGAGCATACTTTCATGGACGCTGGACCAAATGTTCATGGCCACAACATTGGAGCACTTCAGGCCTAACACGAAACATCACACTGCTGGAATTCTTCCCAGTCCATGTTGCGGCTAACATTTGGGCTGATGACCTCAGGGGCAAAAAGTTATTAATAAACAGTGATAACCAAGCAATTGATGCCATACTGAACAAGCA